AATATGCACAAAAACATCACAATTAGCACATAAACATTACTATATAACATTTTAGACACATTCCAGACAGTTTATCAGCTAGAAAAAGTTAATTTTGGGGTAAGTTACTCTTTAAACAGGTTTTGGCACTTGTTCGAACAGACAATTGGCTTAAATGTTCAACTGGGGATGCTTTGGTTCTAATAAATTTGAATATTAAGTGAGAAGTATTGACTATTCCCCTTCTCTTCCCAATGCAAACAGCATTTTCTTTTAAGAAATGTTGAACATTTTTAAAAACACACAAGTGTGCATTTTTAAATGAATCCATCTATTTGACACACAGCGCTTTGAGAAACAGTAACAAGGTTTTGTTCTACATCTGGCCGGCTTTGTCTTGATTTTGTAACCATTGAGTTTTGATTGTATTGTATGCTGAAAATGTTATTGATTGAGTGGGAATTTGAAATGATGTCAAAGATTAAYTGAGCTACAAGTGTTTTGGAAGAATATTTAGCCATGCTCAAAATGTTTTCGTGCATTGTCAATTTTCCACATGATGGAAAGTCATAGTAGTAGGTACTTTCTAAAAAAAACCAAAGTATTATTTTAAAAATATGTAGCCAGAATAGGTGGTCGGATCAAGGAAACTCTTTTTGAGAGGCTCAGAAATGTTAAGATGACATTGGTCTACAGTGGACACACTGCATGACTTTCCCATATCATTATTTGCAACCCATTTTCACTCCCAAGTCGTCACGTATTGATGCGTGGTCAGGTTCCCTCTGCGTCAGGTTTTGATGCGTCAGGTACCCCCCTCACATCAGTTATTGATGAGATGTGGCGGAATCTGTTGTTGTAATTTCAGATAGTGTAGAAAATGCACAAAAGCTAATCGTCCCAAACCCTAAAATTACCTTTATTCGCTCTAGAAATCCTGTCCCTGGTACCTAAAATGAACCATTTTTATAAAGTGTAGGAAATTCACGTCAACTATGTGTCCCAAATCCTAAAATTACCTAATATTCGCCCTAGACATCATATCCCTGACCTGACTACTTAAAATTAACCCTGATCCCTAATATTAACCACGGYCCCCAACAAAGACCRCTATATCTTGRATCCTGACGCATCAACACCGGACGCTGAGGAAACCCGGAAATGCCTGGTGCYTCAATAGCTGATGCGAAGGGGTTACCCGGTGTGTCAAAWTAAGACGCAGAGYGAACCTGACCAAGCGTKAATATGTGACGACTTGGGAGCAAGAATGTGTTAATATTGTTTGGTTGTGGCGTTGCTAAATTGGTTGTCATGAGCGTTGAACGACCACAGATTCCAGCTCACAATCAAAGATTTTCTAACATTATTCACAAAAAAATGTTGATGACAGACTAAGGTTGATGAAAACCACAGCCTAAGCCCGACATTGTGATGACTTGTTGGTTTAATCATCTCAATCAAATGACATGTTCTATATTAATTAGAAACATTTTTGTGACTCTTGTTTTGATTTTTAAAATGATAAATTTTGTGGCTGCAATCTGGTTATATGTGGTTATTAGAAAGACTGTGAAGCTGGCTTTGTGAGGAAATTTACAAAGACAGTAAATTTTTGCGTCAAGCCTTCTGTGATTAGTTTATTGGTCCACAGAGCCCCCAAAGGCTAAACGTTGAGTTTCACTGTCCCGTTAACAACCCTAACTTGACATTGCGTCAAAATCACAAATCCTGGACCTCCATAATTTTCACACTCAGTTTCAATCTTATCAGCAGCAGCTCAGCGGACGCCTTCAGCTCACTGTATTCATATCTATGAACGCCGTTTTCATAGTTTTGCCCTGAAGTTTATAAAAAAAAGGCCTTTTCCATCTGAAGCCTTTCAGCTCAACTCATCTGTAAGACATCCYGACAGAGAGCGATGAGTGAGAGACACGCTTGGTGAAACAACGCTGCTGCCTCGGTCGCCATTCTTGACTGAGAAAGATGTTTAATCAAGCTAGAAAATAGGGGAGGTGTGTTTCTTCTCTGTGATAGTCTCTGAAATGTTTTCACTGGCCATTTTCATCCCACATAAAACAGCTCTTAGAGCAAAAATGAAAATATTTGATGTACTAAAGCAGTGGAAAGGTCATGCCTCATACTCGTTAAGGGCAAACTCAGAATGGCATCTTGCCTGTTTGCTTACCTCCAAGAGCTTACAGGATGTGTAGCTTTAGAAAAATTTGAGKCACATAAATTCTCTCTCTCTCTCTTTTTTTTTTTGAGGAATAGCAACACCTTTGCACAGTTGGTTGGATGATTGCACCATTAGCTTGACTGGGTCTTTGGTTTTGATTTCAAGGGTTGGAAAGTGTCTTTTCTGGAATTGAAGTAAAGATACTGTCATGAAAAAAGTAAGAGACAAATCATTGGTYCAGTCATGCTTTGTTAGAGAGAAAAAAAATACTTTGAACATCTAAATACTATTTTAAAGTTGACCGCATTTGAGATTTGATAGTTTTGGTAAACCTCAGATTCACAATGTGTCATTTTAATGTGTCAGTTATTCTCTGATAGTTTTGATCAGCCACATATTTCTGAATATTTTAGCATGTWTTGATTGTTCCTATCCACAGATTATTTACTGAAGGCAAAAAGCATGGT